GGGGGGGTATGATTGAGGTGTTTGATATTGTAAAGGGAATTGATAGTGTTGATGCATCATCTTTATTTTTTATACTTAACAGTGAGAGTAGTAGGACTAGGGGACACAAATATAAATTTTGGCAAGGTAGAAGTCATCTTCAGCTAAGAGTTTTATTTTTCTAACAGGGTGGTTGGCCTTTGGAATGGGTTGCCTTCTGATATTGTGGAGGCAGTAAATTTAAGTGAGATTAAGAAAAAACTTGATAAGTATATGAATGATAAGGGCTGGCTTTAAGATTTTTTAAAATTATTTTAATTTAGTTTAGAGGATGGACCAATATGTCCCATGTTGTCCCAGAACATTATTTTTCCATGTTTACTTAAGAAATCTACCTTCTGATGGTTTTGAAAAAACAGGATATTGTGTTTGTGAAATTACCTGAGCTTCAAATAATTAAGTGGTTCGTAAACTAACTTGAAGGCTTCATTTAACATTTTCTCGTTATATTGGTCAAACCTCATATACACTGTGTTTCTAAGTACATGAAAAAACAACTTATGCATTAGAATTTAAACACTGAAACATAACAAGGTTTAATCATTACAGGTTAGTATGTAATGCTGTATATAAACATAAAAATAGTATTTTGTTACTTGAATGGTCTTTATTCTAGTTTTAAAATTTCAAAATAACATTTGCCTTTCTACAATTATAAAACTTAAGCCTATAGCAAAAGAAACTTCAGTAATATTTTGATACTAATTTCTTCTTTTATCACTCTGTAAAAAATGTTTGGACTTCTAGAAATTCATTCTGAACTGGGTTGATTTTTTTGCTGATCAAATTCAACTAGGTTTGTTGATTATAACATTTTTCTTTTGTAAAATAGCAATCAAAAATGGTACCTTATGAAAATCAGTATAATTACATTAGTAGATAGTAAAGTTGAATATAGTAGTACTAGTAGTAAGACTATTAATGTACTTTATTTACTCACTCGGCTGTTTTTTTTACCCTACAATATGTGCATTTTGAACATTCATCAGACAAATTTATGTAACTTTGTGCTTCTTAAATTAAACAAATTAATTTGCATATTGCAGGCTTCAGAAAATATAAAAATATCAAAGTCCAAAATTCATTTAATACAAAAAACAAAATAAGATATCCCTAAAAACAAGAAAACTTACACAAGCAAAATATTGCTTTTACCCGAGAGAAAATTTAATTTGGAAAAATAAGATCTTTAACAAAGACATCTGTCATTCTGTGCACTAAACTATTTTCTCCAAAAAAATTATCTTTGAGAAGATTATATACTTACACGGTAATGGGATTCAAACTGATCTCAAGCAAAGTAGCCCTGTAAGATTCTTCAAAAACTCTTCAATGTGATATTCGATTTTAGATAAATTATTTATTCCCTAAAATTATTGGCTGTTACCTTATGTATACTTTAATAAAGTCATGTTTCCAACTCTGAACATCAAATTCTTGTTATTATAGGAATTCTGTTAAACAATACATTTTACAAGAAACTGCTTTCCTGAAAACCATTCATCACTTTCTGTATCTTTCTTCTTCTGATATTGGTTAAGAGACAAGGAATGGTTTTCAATTTCCCATTTCACTATCATCAAGTTGAAGACATTCTCCCATCTGACTGACAAACTAGCTTCAGAGTGAAACATCTGAAAAACAAATAATTTTCATAGATAAACCTTAAAAATCACTTTTTTTACATATATGCTAAAAAGGAAGTCTATCAGTAACTAAAGTCTGACTTTCACTTTCAGACTTAAATTATTTGTAGTGTTAAGTAAAGAAAGCTAAATTTTAATGTCATTGTTGAGTACTCTTAGACATCCATATCATTTAAAAATTATAGGGTAAAGCTAACTGGAGATTTTGTCTAGTTTTTATGCTACTCAAGTATAACTACCACTTTGCTAACAAAATATTTTAATTAGACTTTAGTTATAATGCTTTGTCTAGTTTGGGTTTCCTTATTAATGGCTTTTTTATAAGTTTTCTATTGAAATCCATTATAACTTTGAAATGTACGTAGGACCACAAAACATAAAGTAACTAAAAAGAGAAAACTAAACACAAAGAACGTTCAGAAAGTACACCTTTTTTCTAACATTTTGTTTTTGGCAAAGGCTTTAAACTGTTGACTCTTTAACAAGTTATCTAATTATGCGTTGTGTGCTGATGGTTTAGTTAGCTCATGTTCCCTTTATGCTGTTTGATAAGAATATGGATGCCAAAGGTAATTTCAATGAACTGAAGCCAATGAAGGTAAAATATTGGGGGTTCGTAGTTAAATAGTCTATTTGTATACCTACCCTTACAACTACTGTAAGTGTAAGAGAAGGAGGACTGAGATTGCTTACCAATCTGCATTCCTTATTAAAAATTATTGTGGATATGGACAACAAAATAGGGAAATCAGATAAATGCTAAAATATACATATCTTCTATATTTTTAAAATTACAACAAAAATTGGTCTCTATTATAAGAATAAAACAAAATGAATCTCCAGAGTTGTTTACTCACTAGGCGGCAGCAAGTCTATTAACTCAAACTTGTAGAAAATAAAAACTTCTAAAAGATTCCTCCATTTCTAAGGCCACACTTAAATTCCCATATTTCACAGACGAACAATGTAGCTTTAACTTAAGTAAAAAAAATTGAGGTCTCCATGGTCGATTTACCCTCTAGAGAGCATTAAAACTATTAGCTCGATCATTTTGTAGAAAACAAATATTCTAGAAAATTGCCTGCACTTCCTCAACCACCCTCAAATTCATCTATGTCTGTTTGTTTGTATTTAATCACAAAGCAACACAACGGTTCGAATCCCCGTCACACCAAACATGCTCGCCCTTTCAGCCGTGGGGGCGTTATAATTTGACGATCAATCCCACTATTCGTTGGTAAAAGAGTAGCCCAAGAGTTGGCGGTGGGTGGTGATGGCTAGCTGCCTTCCCTTTAGTCTTACACTGCTAAATTAGGGACGGCTAGCGCAGATAGCCCTCGTGTAGCTTTGCGCGAAATTCAGAACAAACAAACTTTGCTGTGCCCATTATGTAGTATCGAAACCTCGGTTTCTAGCATTACAAATCTTCAGACTTACCGCTGTGCCACTGGGGGTCTTCACCTATGTCGCAGAGAAGCAATAGAGATTTGATACAATATAAAAAATAGGAGTCTTCAAGGTCATTTACCTAATGGGGGCGTAAAACTTCGAAACTCTAATATTTTTAATGTTTTCTTTAAACAAGTTTTTAACCATATAGCATTTAACTGTTCATCATCTTGATTTTGTCATATTAACTTCAATTCCACTAGACTTCTTGAACTGTTTTCATGCATGCCCATAATCACGTACAAGAGACACATTTCTTCAAATCAGGTACCTCAGGTACCAGAATGATCGATTGTGGTGATCAGGTACATTAATATCCGTCAGGAGTTTAAAGTATCCGCAAAAGTGCAGATTCAGGAAATGTAACTCAGAGAATAATATTAAACACGGACAGTTCAGGAAACACTGCTAAACGTAAGTGAACAAGTAAAACAATATCTTTATTTAAAGATATATATGTTTGTGTAAATACAAGCCGGCTTCTGTGTTCCTTAAATGGAGCAGAGCAAGGCATTCCGAAACCTGTTCACACAGAAGAAAAGGGCAGAGGAAATTATACCGCACTTTCAAATCAGACAATGGGTCTAAGTGCAGTATGTCATAATCTTAAGCTGTGTACGTCATCGACAATTCCAAGTAACTTATACATGGAAGAAATCCCCTTACTCATACCAATGATCTGTTTCTCCCCTTGTGATGAACTCCCTCAGGGAGTGGACACAGACAAAGAGCCAAAGTGATACAAGTTTTTGTCGTTTCCTTATGTGACGACCTTTACCTAAGTAAAATGGTTAACATGTGTTTATGATATTTAGGCGTCGGTTAATGCGTATGACATTGCATGCGAAACACTTACAAGAAAATGGAACGTAGTACTTGAATATACCTGACTACATATATATTCTGAACTAGCCTCATAACATCTTGCTATTAAACATTTAAAAGACAACCACGTGAACCTACAATTGGTAAAAGACACTAAAAACATTATGGCTGACAGACTGTGAGAATATCTTATGATGGCGACTTTTTTTCATACTTTAGTGCAATAGGAGAATCAAGAAGCCGTAACAATTAGATAATATTGATGAATATTATCTAATTATCTATTATCTAGTGCTTTAGCTTATGTTGAATTTTCTGTTGAAAGAAATTTTGAAAGAATGACAAATAATATGACTTAACATTATTAAACGTTTTTTTCTTATGCTATCCGGTTTAATGCCAGGCTACTTGGTTTTGAACTTGTTATCACAAAGGTCACCCTCCTCTCTCCTTCATATATGAGTTCATTACTCAAACAACATCCCAAGCACTTACCTACTGCGAGTCCATACAAACCTCAGTTTTGCATATTTTTTTTAAACGTAGTATTTCGACAAATGCGATTTATTTTTCAAATGCCAAAAAATCTTAGCATGTGTTAAGTATGCTATTTATTGGAGTTGATCTCTTACCTTTTTTCCTCTTTCTTGTTCCACTGTAATTGTCTTTTTTTACACCCTATAAGTATTGAAGTTAATTCCAATGTCTTTTTCAATGCTCTTAAGTAAGCTTCTTCAGTCTTTACTGCCACCCAGTGGCACAGCGCTATGTCTGTGGACTTACAACGCTAGAATCCGGGTTTCGATACCCGTGGTGGGCAGAGCACAGATAGCGCATTGTGTAGCTTTGTATTTAATTACAAACAAACAAACAGTCTTTACTATTTGTAAGATTATTTTTGTATGTAATAAACTAATCACAATTTGAATGACATTGGTAGTAATCCATGTTTATATAAGTCTTAATTTACTGTTGTTTACTTCCGCGTCTTAAAATTTCAAGAAATCAAAAAATAAACTTTTTATTTATTTGAGTGTGTAATTTATTACGCAGTACATCAACATTTTAATGATTTGTTTAGCTCATTCTAGAATTCATTGTTCGTAATAAAAAACAACAACATTTATTTGTTTGTTTGAAATAGGAAGAAAACTTCTTAATTTTAGAAAAAACTTAAATTTCTATACAAACATTTTAAATAAAAGTTTTAACACATATTCGGTTGAATAACTTATTGGACAATAAAAATAATTTATGATGAAGTTCTTTGGCTGAGAAATAGTTATTTCTTTCACAGTTTTGTTTTCTTTCTATCTCGTAATGATTATAAAACGGCTTTTTAACAAGTTTGGCAAATTTTAAGGTGCTCTTTCTTTCGGTTTTTATCACACATACTATCTTGATTTATCCATTATTTCAACGAGGCAAATAATATAGCATATCCAATAATCTACTTTACATACTTTACAATTATCTGCCCTGAAAGGATTTTATCATACCTTATGTTTCTTTTTTATAAATATTGAATGAGACAGTTACATTATTATTATAGAGCTGATTGTGTTTTTAAGTTTAATGTATTATAGTTTAGTTTTCGCTTCTATATTTAATTTACATAACACTTTTCCAATTATCGTCTTGAAACATAATTATTTAAATTTCTAAATAACTTACAAAAATTCATCATCAAATTTACTGTTTCACTTTATAAGTTTATATATAGTTTATATATATATATATAAAACGCATGTTTCACTAGTTATAATGTTTGGCTTAAACATATTGTTATGCTAACCTCTGTGTACGTAGCTCTGTTTTCATTCATATCTCTAACTTTAACAAATGTTTAATAAACTTGTTAAAAAAGCATTTTGCTACAACTATATATAATAAATGAATGACTTACTGTTTAACCAATCACTACACAAAATAGCAACATTTACCATTTTATAATTTTCTATAGAATATTTGCTTGAAGTACAAAACGTACCATACAGTTAAAATTTATAAAACCTTGTTGTTTTAAAGTATAACTAGTAAACAAACTTTCTTTATGTGTAAATCAACACGATTGCAATGATTATCTTGCACATATTTCTAATTCACACCAATACTATCTAAAAGGTCCAACTCAAATGGCATCGATAAACTTAGATTGTTAGAAAATACAAAGGGTCATTGGCAAAAGAGGTTGTCATGTGGCCAAATAACCAGTCCCCTCTTAAAAGTGGCAGAATAAAAGTTCAATAGCCTTGAAAGGTCTGGAATTAGGAAAAAAAAATTACACACAGACATGCGCCTTTTTGGTAAAATACATTATTTCTAGTTTGTAATGATATGTACAAAACTAAAGTTATGTCACTTTATAATGATTCAAATGTATATATTAAATATTTTTTGACAGATCAGAAATTCTATTACACTGTAACATTCAATCTTAATAGTTCACCAAAGCATCAAATACATTTTTCATAAGTGAACATAATTTATAACCAAAAAAGAGTTGACAATCATCATCGTAAGAGGACCTTCAATTATAAATCAAGTGGTTATTCTTTCAAGTTTTATAAATCCAACATGTTTACTGTATATCATTACAGAATATACTTTACAACAACGACGTAAAATCAAAAGCTTGACAAGCATACTGAAACATTTAATTAACAAAACTTCAACAAGCATACTGAAACATTTAATTAACAAAACTTCAACATAAAAATAATATACTTTAAACATCTTAACTTATAAAATACTGAATTAAATTTCATACAACTTTTGTACATTATGTTCACATTACTATTTCAGATAGCCCTTGTGTAGCTTTGCGCGAGATTCAAAAACAAAAAAACAATCTACCGATGTATAGTGACACTGTCTGCCTATAGTAACACTGTCCACCTTTGTAAAACACACAATACGCCTAGTAAGACCATCCACATATATAAAAAAATCATCCTTAGTAAGATTATCCGCCTATAGGACCTTAGTATCACCATCCATCTAGTAACACCATTTTTCTATCTAAAACATATGTAATATTCTTAGATATATAAAATACAATTATTATATAAACATAAGTTGATACAAGTTGAAATCTGTATGCAATCTTATGGAAATATAGTAGTAAGACTTTATAAAAATAACACTGCCCATCCATAGAAGCACTGTCAGCCTTTGTAAAATATATGTAATATGTAAATGAAAATTATAAAGTAACTATCAACATGTATAAAAATGAAAGATTTAGTACCAACAACTACTATTTATTTAGTTAGTAACAACAACTAACTAATAAAAATAAATAATACTAAGTAAGTAAAATAAACTAACTTTTACTTTTACTAA